TTAAAAAGTTTTCCTTACAGTCTTTTAGTTTGACCGATCGGTTTGTATGGCAGCTATATGCTATAGTGATTCGATAGCGGCGTTTCAAACAAATAAACAGCTGCTTATGCAGAAACGAAAGTATGCAAAATTTCAGATCGATATTTGAAAAACTGAGAAACGAACAGACAGACGGACATGGCTAAATCGACTCAGCTCGTCATGCCGATTATTTATAAATATATGTATTTTAAAGAGTCTCCAACACTTTCTGGGGTTGGCAAACTTAATTTAACCTGTTTAGGGCATAATGATACAAATATATCGATTATTTAATAACTAGTATAAATGTGAGATTATAAAAGATATCTATATTTAAATATTTTACTGAAACTATTAAGTAATACTACTTTATTTTAAAATAACTATTTTAATCATAAATATATTACTGTAAAGTCCCGTCAACAATATTATTAATTTTAGCTAGTCGATATAAAATTTATTTTTAAATTTCACTCTAAGCAATTTATTTAACAAAAAAGTCTGTCAATTTCAAAGTAAAAAGTCGTCAAAGCCTTGGAAAATTACAATTTAAACGATTAAATTAATTGATTAAATAAATTCCACCTACGATTGCGGCAAGATGGACTTTGTTAAGGGCAAGTAGTTCAGTAAATCTCGTGCGTTCTACTCTAAGCCAAAAGGTTCTCACAGTCGCACAGAAGTTGGTTACCAATTACCAGCTAATTCGTTTGAGAAAAGTTTTCTACAAACTATTAACTGTAAGGTGCGTTTCTTGTTCACTAAAAGAGTTTTGTTTTCAAGTTTCTTTACTAATTTTTAGCACAATTTCAAATTTGACCACGAAAATATTAATACGCAACTGAGTACACCTCTTAATTAAAACCACTATTTCACGAAAGGTCATTTTAAACATTTTGACAAGTTGCTAATACCTAGTTTACAATACTAAATTTTTGTGGCAAATCAAGTACTACGAGTAGATCTTTTGACTTGAAAATTTCAAAGTTATATTATTGATTTTAGTTAATGTTATTAGCTTATGTACTACAATACAAAAGTAGACTTACTGTAAATTAAAATATTTTATGCCTAATTAAAAATATATACGAATATTATTCAATATAAAATAAAATAAATAAATATAACATATAAATATCAAAAAATACATATAATAAATTTAAATAAAATATGGCAAAATTTATTTAAATAAATTTATAAATATAAGTACACGATTTTAAATTATATTATACACTTAAATAATTTGAAAATTTGTAAAAAAATGGATAGAAACATTTATTTTGATACATAATTTAGAAATCTTTTTATATATATTTGCCAAAGAAGATCCATATGCATATAAACATATAATTAGTTTAATAATTTAAATAAACCAAATAATAGTAAACAAATAATTATTTATTAAACAGTTGGCCAAATAATAAATAATATTGTTAAGAATTTTTGTTCAAATTACATAGATTACATAAAATACATAAAGAAAATTAAAAACTACGACCATAGATAGCAAAACAATACAAATACATACATCAAGTAATAGATGAAAAGTGAGAAACATGTCAGAAGGCGTCAGTAGGCAACGGTACATAATACAGCTACAACAAAATAGTTACCTGCATACAAACATACACTCAGAGAAATAAAAGTAGACACCAAATTACAATTAAATTCTTACAATACTAAACACACAATGCAAACATACAAAGGATATTGTTAAACGAACACAACGTATGAACGAAGAACGAGCGAATGAGCACGCGTGACAGCGTCAAATATACGATTTATTTTAGAGTACAACAAAAAATACAGTCAGTGGATGCTTTTTAGAGTTGTTTTTATAAATAAAAATGCTATTGTTTTTTATTTTAAATTTTTTTAATTAATTATATATTATAATCGTTTGCTTTATTTAAAAAATGAAATTAAAAATTGTTTGCTTATTAATTTAACTAAAAAATATGTATTTATATAATATGTATTTATATGTTTATAAAAAGAATATTCAGTGAGCGTAAACAAATTAGAAAGAGAGTGTGATAGTATGTGAGCGCAAATATGTAGAGCGAAACTAAAATCTAATAAATATTAAACGACAGTTAACATATTTAACCAATATATTGCAGTTTACTTAAGTTAAATATATCAGTTTTTTGTTTTATTTTATTATAGATTCACATAACTATTTGCAGAATTTCTTTTCGAATTTTTTATTTTTTACATAAAAAATATGCACACACAAAAATATAAATTGCAACAAAAATTATGCAATATTTACGCGTATACAATAGTGGGTGATAATATATATTTTTGATGAAAGTTCAAATCATTTTCAATTAGAGTTGCAAAGCAATCACATTTGTTGGTGGGTGACTGTTTACTTAACTGATTTTTTAAGGACACCGTGGCATTATGCTTTTTTGAGAGCACTGGAGAAATAAGTGAAATTTTTGGGGATGTGTTAAATTTAGAGTTTTTGTTTAGTAATTCATGTATAGTGTGGTGCGTGCATAACGGCACACCAAGTCATCACCCAACAAATGCGTAAGATATTTTTGTTTTAATTTTTCTTTTTACAAACTAATGTATTCTAATACTTTTGAATGCCAGTGTATTTCGCCGTTTCACTAATTCACATATTATTCTTTACTAGTTCATACTACTTTGAGCGCAACTGAATCACTTTGCTTAGCAGATTAAAATGTATTATATTATTTAAATTAATTATTGCATATTAAGTAAAAATATTAAACATTATATCTGTATGTATTTTTTAATCAGAATTAAAAACTAACTTAAAAATAGCGCACTTTTTTCAAAGTAATTTTTCTTTTAATTATTTTTGTAAGTATGTAATGGAATTCAATTTGAGATTACTAATGTTGACGCGCTTAGGTATTGGCAACAACAATAGGTGATAAGTATTGAAAAAAAGAGACTTATAAGAGATTATAAGGTTAGAAGAAAAAACATTTTTTTTTTGCAGCAATAAAAAATAATGAGCGTAAAATATACAAAACTACAAAATTTGGACAGACAAACATTGAAAGTTTTACATTAAGTTGAGCAGACAGCAAGCAAAAACAAAATAAACGCTAATATGAAAACGGAATATTGATATTCTTTGACATTAGGTGAGTTTTGTTAACAAAAAGTTGTATAAGTTAAGAGAGCACATAAAATTTCACACGAAATGCAAAAAAAAAATATACGGGTTAAATGAGACAAGAGTGTGTCAACACTTCATAAGATGTTCCGGCACACGAACAGAAATATTGAGAAAAAATAAAAATAAATACGAGTACATATATTTTGTAATTAAGTAGTAATTTGTATATGATTGTGTGTAAGTGTATGAGCAATTTTTTCGAATTCAGTTTCGATTTGGAAAATGTGTTGTTTCGCATTAAATGTTATGAGAATGTTTGTAATGTTGTGTGATATTGCCTACTTTCACGAGAACTTTTTGTATATAAAAAAACTATTTTTTGCACTAAAATTTTATAACATTTGTTAAACGTACTAAATTTTTTTAGTGTATTTTTGTTACATGATTTAATTTTGAATGGAGGTATTTTAATTTACGTATATAGGTTTTATAAAATGTTGCCTATTCTTTAAGTGTAATTTTATAGTAATAATTATGTGTTGGAATTCTACATAGGGCAGACATTTTTTATTGTTTTAAAATTCGGGAATTGATTTAAAAATATTAATTTTAAAAGCATATATATTTTGTATATTCTTTAATGATTTAAATAGAGGTTTCACTGTGAGTTAGTGCAAGAATATACATAACCGGACAATTCCAAAAACTATAGGAGCATCAAATATTTACATTATTGAGCAACAATGAAAAAATATGTATTTCTTTGACTTTGTAGTAGCAATTCTCGTAGTTGGGAGAACGAAGCATTGCTTCTTTTGTAGCAACTGCCAAAATGTATAATTGTTAAAAAACAGCTGTTATAGACATTTCATTATTTTTCCGTCAGCCAACTGCTATTTTCAAATGCTCGTAATGTATACACATTTTAGCTCAAACGGCTGACATAATAATTTGTTTTCACTGCCAGTGATCTTCAATACTTGATAATAAATTTTTTTAGAAAGATGTACAGTTTGTTGGCGAATACAAATATTATACATAAATATTTTTATGGAAAAGTTACTCGGTACGGCAAAACTGTTTTCAGCGCTAATACAACTGCTTTTATAAAAAAGTTACAATTAAAATTATTGTATATTTAGAACCTCAAATAGGTAACTAAGAAGGTTAGAAACTGCTTATTAAACATTTCAAAACTAAATCATGCATTGTTAGATACGAAAAATCTTAAATTACAAAATACACTGAAAAAAACAATCCAAACACAATTGAAGCAACTTTTCGAAGAATTTTGTATAAAGTACTATTATTAAAATTTATTTCGTTTCAAAATATATATCTATATATTCGCAAGACACTACGCTCCAATGAAACCAAATTTAAATTTTCGAATATTAGCAAATTATTTTTAATTCCTTCACAAAACCAAATCTACAATGTTTTCCAGACGAAAGTTGATACTACTTTAAAAAAATATATGTTTCCGTCCCTATTATTTTTTTTTCAATTGTGGTTACTAATCCTATTGCAATTATTTTAAAAAAAACTTTCATGTAAAATTTGGAAATTTTAACGTTAAATTCGTTTACGGTTTCTACGAAATTTTAGTGTGAGTTTTTTTATATGTTTTTTTCTTTGCGACATTAAGCTAACATCGTTGCTACAATGCTAATTAATGTTATGCATGTTGTTGTTGCGAGAGCAATGACAGTTGTTGTTGCTGTTGTGATGGCAGTTGTTGCAGTTCTCGTTCCGGCTGTTCTCGTTGTGGTCATGAATTTAATGTAGTGTTTATGTGGCGAATCGGCCGCCGAATTATAACCGGCCGAATACAATAATGTCCCCAGATTATTATTAGCAGAATCGGACTCACCTCGTGTCGTTTTCATAACAATCGATGCTGGTGATGAGAAACCGATCACATTGTGCGCACGCAATTCGATGCGATAGTAGGTGTTGCCACTTAGATGCGACATCTCGTATGATGTGGTCTCGACAACGTCCTGCGAGACGCATTGATTTTCCAGTTCATGCCAAGTGCCGGCCATTTTTACGCCCTGCATTAGAGAAGAGAGGGTGAGTTAATAAATTCTAAAATTAATGGCGGCACTTCAAATATTTTATTGTAGTGTAACTTACTGGGCAGTATTTGATTTGATAGAAGTCGATGGGTTCACCATTGTCAGCTGGCACGCTCCATCTCAGCTCAAAGTGGTCGGAGTACGGCGACACTACAACGGGTTCTTCTTTGTCATTTTGCACCGGCGAATGCAGTGGCTTGGGCTCTTCGGGCGCTGAACGTCTGGGTGTTGACTGCTGTTGGTTTACGCCCCACATGCCCAAACCAACTTGATTGCGTGCCGCAAACCGGAATTGATAGGCTGTCTGTGGCTTAAGTCCTTCAACGATGTACGGTGAATCCGGTGACCAGGTGCGATTCAGTGCTGTCGACCAATCTGGGTTAATAGCCTCTTTGTATTGCACGCTATAAGCGGTGATGGGTAGACCGAGTTCCGTTGGTGGTCCGCGTATATCAAAGGTGATTGTTGTTGCGGTGAGCTGACGTGGTATCGCGGCGGCAACTAGGTCGGGCACACGTGCCTCTTTCAATTGCATATCATGCTCGGCGGTGCCATGTACATTTGTGGCAATGCATTTGTAAACCGAATAGTATTGGCGTGCCACAGGATGCACAATCAAATCGCTACGTGGTCCGGTGCCGATAATGACGAGATTCTTGTCGAAGTCATCCTTAAGTGGGCGTCCATTCCAGCGCCATTCGATTGTAGCATTTGGTATACCTTGCGCTAGACAACTAAGATTGGCTTTACGTTCTTCCCAGCTGAAAACTGGTGGCAGATCCTTCATGTGCGAAAAGTCTGGTGCAAATTCAACAGTTATGTGTCCGGTTTTGTAAGCGGTGTCGCCCTTATTGCGCGCAAGACACTGGTAAAGCCCATCGTCATTACGTGTGGTACTTGTAATGCGTAGCGTGCCTGAGCTTTCGCCGCGCTCCTCATCAAAATGTTGCTCTAAAGAGATGCGTTCATCATCGACTTGCAAGCCTGGTGCGTATTCTTCCTCGGTTCCCCAGCGTCTGAAGGTGACAGCGGGTGCGGGACGTCCTTTGGAACGGCAAGTGATAGCAATTTCTTTCTTACTCACGCCGGTTACATTGTAGAACTCGTAGATTTGTGGTCGCACCAGCACATTTAATTTAGTCTTCTTATCTACCACGCCTGCATCGTTCTTGGCAATGCAAGTGTAAGTGCCATAATCGTCTTGTGTAACTGAATTTATGGTGAGAAGACCGGTTTGCGGGTTCACTTGGAAGCGATCGGCGGTGGCGACATTCTGTTGAGCGGCATCCTTTATCCAAGAAATTTCTGGTACTGGCTTACCGGTTGCGGTACAATTTGCGGCAAACGGTTTACCTTCGACGGCCTCGAGTGTGGCTGGTAAGTGCGTTATGACCGGTCGTATGTAGACTTCGACGCGTATAGTGCGTTCAAGCAATTCACCAGTTTCAATTACAGCAGCACGGCAAGTATAAATACCATCATCAGATTCTTGCACATTACGTATGAGTAAACCGTGCGCTTCTACTACGTATTTATCACCGGTACGAATCTGTAAATAATGAATATATAACCATATTAGTGGGGATGGTTTTGGTGTAGATAATACAGAAGTTTAGAAGAATATTACGATTAAATTGTCGCTAGAACTCATACTAGAAGTGTTGAAATATAGTGATAAGTCTAGATTATAATTTCTAGAAGTCCATGTTTCTAATAAGCTTCAAAGGCGGAGTAATACCGAGTAAAATATTGTAGAAAACAAACAAATACAAGTATTAAAATTAATTTCTTTTAAGATATATTGTAATATATATGTATATAAGATTTGAAGCATAAGACCCTTATATGGAACAGATAAACTGATAAGGTTTCCATGTATTTTTAAGAGTTTGCCTCTTTTCAAGTTTCCTCAGTACGACGGGCCTAAAAATACCGACGGAGCGAAATATGTATTTAAGAACGTGTAGTGACTTCTGGTAAAGAAATATGTATAAGTATACGCGGACTAGTCCTTCAGTTCATGAGATATCCATCTGAAATTTTGCACGAATCTTTCTCTCCAAGAAGTTGCTCACTTGTCGGAACGGCCGATATCGGATTATTATAGCATCTAACTGCTACACAAACTGATCGATCAAGGTTAAGTTCTTGTACAAAATTTTTGTTTCGACGAGATATCTTAACGAAGTTTGATATGGAATATTGTCCAAAGAAACGGTACAATCTCCGAAGAAGTTGTTCAGATCGGATCATTATAGCGTAAAGCTGTCATACAAACTGATCTAGCAAAATCAAGTTCTTGTATGAAATCTTCTGTATTTGCGAAGGGTATTATCGCTTCAATACAATCGAAGTTATCGATTTTTCTTGTTTTTTAGTTTTTTAAACTCTTAACTTAATATAAAATGCTCTTTCGAACTTAACTAACCTAAAAGTATCCATTATTACAACATAGACGCAGATTATGCTAGTTAATTTTGCTCTTCAAATGCAAATTTTCTGCATACTTCCTGTGGAAGTCAAAGTTTATGCATATATACTTAGAGTGTAAACACGAAATTACATAAAAACACTTAACAATTTCGTTAAGTTTCGTAAAAGTCTTATAAAAGCGCTCAGTGACAAGCTAAATTTCAATTTATGCAAACGACAATTTCATCTACATGTATGTACTATGTGTCTATATGTAAACTATGCGAAGTATTATATAATGTTATGCCGCAAGTGCTGTGTAAAAAAGTTGCAAGGTCTCAGCATTATTATTAAGAGCAAGAAATTTAAGTTTACTCAAGTTTTTGCAACACGCACTAACATACTAGCGATGGAGTGCAAAGTGAGCGTATAAGTATGTATGTGTGTGTGTGGTGGCGAAAACAACACAATATTTTAAAAATTGTGCCCCTTTGGCTTAACATTTCGCAAGCAAGATGCTGCTTACGACTACTCTTACAGCCACTACACATTCAATATATGTTCAAGCGTTTGGTTGTGCAGTTATTTGATCGTTGTTGTTGCATGTCATGGCATAGCATAACGTCTCTGCTGTCGTCGAAATTCCTAAGTAAATCATGAAGTTTTAATAACATCCTTATGCGCTACTTACCGGATCACCGTTGCGCAGCCAGTCTATGGTCGGATTGGGATCGGCCTTCACTTCACACTTGACAGTGTAGTCTTCGCCGAGTATGGGGTATTGATTCTCCGGAGCATTTGTCCATGTTATGGCGACTAAAAGTAGAAGAAGACAGAAAAAACATGAAAAGTGATGCCATGAGAAAATTCAGAAAATTTCAAAATTTGGAAAGAAGATGCAGCAGCAGCTAAGTATAAAAGCGCATAAGGAAGAAGCACACACACAGACAGAGTAAATGTAAAAGCGAAAACTTGGTAAAAAATAACGTGTGCAAAATACATTGAACACGCACAAACAGCGCCGACAATGAGTGCCCGGATTAGTATGTAGTGTGGCAGTTGTAAGAGCGCAGACAGCGTAGCTGCTGGCGCTGGACATGCTGACGACGTCGCGCTCGTGGGTGTTGCTTAAACAGTCAAAGTCAAGTGAGCGCTTGAGCTACGGCTTGTTAGTTGTTAACACAAGCTGCAGTTGCCAGCATTTATTGTTGTTGCTTTTGGCATGTTTGCAATGCGAGCAGGATTTGAAAAGCATACAAAGTAAAGAAGTTAAACAAAAAATTAAAAGGAGTAAAAACCAAGAAAACACAGTAACTTCAGCTGCACTGAAGCTATGATACTCTTCACCGGTGGGTTTTTTATAGAATAAAAGGCTATAAAAAGCTCTGTATGGCAGTTAAATGTTATAGTAGTCCGATCTGATCAATCGATCAAGTTTACCGGAAATTATAGCGATGCTTTGGATAATAATCTGGGAAAAATTTCTCTCGATATCGATCGATATCTCGATGAACTGACTAGTTCGCGTATATACATATACTTTGTAGGGTCTTCGACATTTTCGTTTGGATGTTACAAACATCGTAGCAAACTGAATATACCCTATTCAGGGTATAAAAAAAAATACTAAAAAAGAAAATTAAAAAAAAAACAAAAAGAAAAAAATCAAGTCGCAGAATCTCTGTACGCAATGCGATTTTTAGTTGTCTTTATTTTTGGCTGAGCATTGCAAAAGCACTTACAATACTTGTAATTTCTGTGTCGTTCCTGCAATTTGTGCAATCTTTACACAAGACTACATTCTTCTTTTTGCACATTGCGTTGTAGTGCCACACAGCGACTTGTTTGATGATTGTTCCTTTAGTTAGCCTGTCCGTCGGGTGCAATTGGAAAGCACATTGCAAAGCCACTTGCCGGTCACCGGTGGCTGCCTGCTAGCGACCGGTCGTTGCACCAACACGCTTGTTGGTTGTGATAACAAGCTAAAATGTTGAGATTATTTGCCACATTTCTTCTTTTTGTGTTCTTTTTTTATTTTTCACTCGGCTATTTGTTCGTTGGTTTCTTTTGTGTTCTGAGTAGTTGTCATTGCAAAGTGCAAATAACAAAATGCTTTATCAAAATGGCTGTTTGATGGTTGTTTTTTGTTGTTGTTCTTGCTCGTGCCACTCTCGGTGTGGCTGATGGCAGCTATTTTCTAAAAGCCAGTCGTCTTAAGGTGGCGACACGCCACACATAATATAAACACGTGTGTATATACCTAACATATATATTACACATCTGTGTACATACCTAAATACATGCATATGTATGTACCAGTATTGTTGCGCGTATATAATCTTCTTCATGCAGCCATTTTCCTGCATCAATTCCATGTTTTTAGTTTGTTTGTCTGTGTGCAACATCTACTCTGCTGCAATTTGTCTATCTTATCACAGCATATTACCGACACTTCTGCTCATTCACTCATACAAAAGCATATGTAAATATCTATGTATGCGTTCAAATTGCTTTGTGTAGGCAGTTGGATAAGTACTTTGTTGGCATTGTGTAGATAAGTCCATTCTAAGGCGGTAATTTGATTGAGTTATTCCCTTACATATAATTACATGTGTGCGGAAGGCTCAACAGCATGTAAAGGCAGAATTATAATTTTATGTTTACACATACCTACTTAAGGATTTAATATAATATAATGGCAGGTAATTTGCATTAAGTTGTAAATGAAAGTACTACTAATGATTGGTAAAGCTTTCAAATAATCATTAAGGTTTCGATAGATTTATTAAGCTTTCGTTAAGATTTCCATAGTTTCGTTAAGTTTTTGAGATTTTAGTTAAGTATTTAAATCTGTATTACGCAGTAAGTGAACGTGCTAGTTAAATTTTTAAATAAGCGTTAAAGCCTTGCTCAATTTTCAAAAACATGCGATAAGTTTTCAAAAATTTTTATAAAGGCTTTTTAAGGTTTCATTGAGTTTTATGAAGCCTTTTAGGTTTCAAAAACTTATGCAAAACTTTTTTAATATTTCGTTAAGTTTCAGAAATTTAGAAACTAATTTTTTTGTTATTTTTTCTAGGAACAGTAATAATTTTCTTAGCAAAATTTTAATTACATGGTATTTAAAAGTAGTACTAAACTTAAGTACAGGTTTTAAGTAATAAAGTTTTATAACTGTCGCTGGGTTTTAAAGTTTTAATAATAACCTTTGATAAACATTTTTTAGGTTTAGTTTAGTTTTCTGAAGTTATTTTAAGATGTAAAAACTTTTTAGTTATTTCGTTCAGCTATCTGAAGTTTCTTTAAGTTTTTGATAATGTGTTTTTAGGTTTTATTGAGTTTTAGGAAGTTTTTTCCAGATTTCAAACAGTATGCTAAACTTTTTCAATGTATCGCTAAGCTTTAAAGAGTTTCGTTAAGTTTGTGTAAGATTCATTAATAATTTAATTTTAATTTAAACTTTAATTTATTCTCTGTGCCCTTTTTCTGAAAATCTTAAACCTTTTAAGCTCTTCAGAAACGCTACGGTTCTTCGTTAAGTTTGCCTGCTTCAATTTTTTTCAGCAATTTGTAAGTAACTTTGCTAAATTAACTTTTTAGTACCAGCCTATTTTACTAAACCTATTGATTTGTCCTATTAACTTTTGTATCAACAATCATCGACGATTACTTGGAATTTTGAAGTCTCCAAAACCGCTTTCAACTGCTTTCTCGCCATTAAGCAGGCGATACACAAACAATTTGCAGCCAAAAACGCAAAAGTTTTGCTCAGCTGAAATTGACTAGTCATTGTGAGAATTTATCTTTTCAATTTGTAAAACTTGTACATACTTATTGGATTTCCATGTTACATATTGGAACATTTGCACAAACTCTTGTACTCCTTTGATTTCGCAGCTCTGGCTTAGGTCTGTGTTTGTGCTTTGCATTTTCATTGCACTTGGCTTTGTTTTCGTGTTTAGTTGCAATTTTTTTGTAGTGGGTGGCATGTTTAAAATTTTTGGCAATTTTTTTGTTACAATAAAATTTCCAATTTGATTTTATCATTGCTGAATCGTACGGATTTCTAAGTGCCCAAGCTTTTTCTACTCCTCTCTGTTCTCTCTCTTTCTCTGTGTGGAGCCACAAGCTGTAGGTTTGTTTGCTTGTTTGTTTTTATTTTTGCTTTCCTGCTTGCTACCATTTGCTTTTCCTGGCATTTCAATACAAGTTATTGCCCAAAAAGCGACACTCGATAACAAAATAAAAGTGAGTGTAGGAAACGAGCAAAGTTTTGGCAGTATTGGATCAGTATTGCTGCAGGAAGTGTGTGTGCAATGTTCCAACTCGCTGCTGTGGAGCTTTTGGTTGTTGAACATTTCTGCATTTAGTTGTTCCCTGATCCATTAAGGCGGCCAGCAACAATAATTGGACAGTGGAAGAAAGTCATAAAAGCACAAATAAATGCATTGATTGTGCCCTTTGCTGCCAACTGACCTTTGGCGCAGAAATTGAAGCATATATATAGTATCGAATTATATATTTAGTATATGTATATATATTTATTTATTTGTATATATGCGCTAGTCTCTGTCAGACTCCGCTGTGAGTACGCGCGTCGTTTGCGACAAGGCACTTAAATTTGCACCGCAATGTCGCATTCGCTGTCGGTATGTGGCAAGCATTGTTGTTGTGCATGTCAGCAATGCCAGCGCCGAACCAGAGCCGCAGCCACAGTTACCACCAGCGCATTCACTTTGTTATGCAGACGCGCTGTTTGCAGTTTCGTTAAGTTTCTATTGTTATTTATGTATATTGTTGCTGTTGTTGCTATTATTGTTTGGCTGCTTGTTTGCTATTAGTTTTGTTTGCTTCGATGCGGTTGCCGGCAAATGCCTGTATACGTGTGTGCAGTTGTGCTTGCTGAGATGAGTGTCTTGGCGTTGTCATCCGGCAGGCAAGTGTAGAAGCACACATTCGGGCGCATTAAGGCTTAAACGTGTGTTGCACGCTCTTTAAAGGCGTTGTCTACCCGATTCGTGCAATCCGTGCACAATAGCCTAACGTTCTTGCTGCCAAAGCACACGTAAAGCATCATCATCGAAACAACAACAAAAACGCGGTTGTTGCAATGACAGGAAGTGTGTGTAGCAATGGGAGTTATTGCCAAGGATATGTGATACTACGCTTATATGCATATCTATACATGTTTGTGTTGATGTTTGTCTTTTAACTTGAACTTTCTTAGCAAACTGTTTCCTTTTGTTGCTGTTCATTGCTGCCTAACGTTCGCTGCAAGTTAGCTTTAGCAAAGCAAATATGATAAATCTTCGCTAGGCAGCTTACGCAGAGTGAGTCAGCAGTACTACAGCCCCATAGCAGACGGCTGAGTGCAGCATACAAACTATACTAAAGTAGAGTATGTATTTGCCATTTGAACGTTTGGCTCTTAAAATGCCAAATATTTTTGATAAAATAACTTGCTAATTTTTTGAATTTGTCAATCGAGAAATCTTTCAGGTTTCTCGAACTTTCAGTTCAAGCATAAACTTGCATTTGAGCTTTCATCAGAACAAAAATTAAGTGAAAGCTTTTATGCTTTCTAATGTTTTAAATCAATGCAGTTTAAAATTTCAGATACACATTCAAGTACTTGCTTGGAATAAAATCTACCATGATTGAGTTTTCATTTGAGCTTTAATAAGCATTAAATTTTAGTGAAATTTTACCTGATATATGAAGCTTGATTTCTAAATTGTGATTTTTTAAACATTTGCTTGAAATAATATCTATCAAGAAAAAATTGTAAATTGAGCTTTCATTAGAACAAAACTTTA